TCTCCTAATTATCACAAACAATTTACAACTATAAATATCCATTTAGGTTTGACGTAGCTTTCTCACAGAAATCATCTCAGCACCATTCTCATATCCTACAATTAAAAATACAGCAGAAATGGCTATGGTTAGTCGCTACACTCCTATTAACAACTTGAAGCCTGTCAAGACTTTTTGGTGTATTCAAGTTAGTATACTCCATTCGTGGATTCATTTTACAAAAGGTTCTGGCATGTCTTTGGAAATGATTTTGACAGATGAGGCTGTAAGTACCATTGAAATTTTATACAATTCTCTTTGTAATATATGTGCCGTAAGTTTTAAGTCATCTTATTTTAATTACAAGGTAACAAAATTCAAGTAGACATCAAAAAGGAACACATCAACAAATTCCAAAGGTATGTTAAACCGTTTTTTTTTCTTTTTTTTAAACCATGAAACTAGACCCCACAAACTCAATATAGTCCATTAAAAAACTTAGACCCAATACAACTATTTTTTTGTTTATTCACAATCACACAATAAAATTATCAATACCTAATTGAACCAAATAAATTGTTAATCTCATATAAAAAATACAAATATAATACTGCTAAATATATTAAATTCTAAAATACAATATTCTCTTCTTCTTTAGTCAAATAAAATATATAACATTATATCCAAATAGTAATAAATATAAAATATTATGATATATTCCCTTTTATATTATACTATATTATTTCTTATTTCTTCGAACAAAATATACAATTTAATTTATGAAAAATATTAAATCTCGTGCTGTATAGCACGGGTCATGATCTAGTATAATAATTAAATAGAGTTTTAGGCTAAACCATATCAAACTAAATCATTTATTTTGGTTTGGTTTGGTTCGGTTCGGTTTTTCAGTTTACGGTTTTCTTGAACATCCCTAAATAGAAGAGCGTGAAATAAATAAAATTTTGAAATAGTTTTATCATGTTTTAAATTTTCAAAAGTTGTTAAGAAATTAATAATTTATGGAATGAAGATTTTGAAATATTCTTTCTGGATAGTGGTGTTATTATTTCCTAAGAAAGCCATTTTATAATTATAATTTGGGAAAATTATCAGAAAATTCATAAATTTTTAAATTTGGTTGAAAAGGCACAAACTTTTTTAGACGTTTTTAAATCACTAAATTTTGTTGACATTTTATTTTAATCACAAATTTTTGTTGTTTGAGCCAATATCCTATACTATTATTTGGGGAGTACAATTTATAATTATCCTTTAATAACCTTCCCCTTTGTAAGTTATTACATTAGAATGTCATTGGAGATAAAAATTTAAAGAGTAAATTAATTCAGCTCATTAAGGATAAACAAGTCAAATACTAATTTATGCAATTTAATTAATTTAATTATTAAAAACGAAAATATATTATTAACTTAAAAAAAAAAATGACAATCAAAATGAACATATAAGATTTGATATCTAACTTACCCTATTAATTTGTTATTAATCATTATACTTCACCTCTCATCTTTATATGATTCTATTTTTATGAAACAAATAAATCATCATATCATACATATAACAAAAAAAAAATGTAAATTTTTTCTGCATATGCCAAGATTTGAATTTTTAAAAACGAATATAAATTGTTAAATCTATGAAGAAAAAAATTTAACGGGTCAAAAATTCACAATTGAGTACTATATTTCTTTTAACCAAAAATAAGTTCAACAAAAATTTCGACTGAGTAACGGGTCAGAATTTGAATATTTATATTCAATTTCATACATTTATTTTTTGAAATGTATTATTTTATATACTACAATAAGATTTTTAAATATTTTAATTTGCAACATATAAAATTAGTTTTACTTGATATTTTTCAAGAATATCATCAATATTTAAAGAATATCATCAATAAATACTCTAATTTGATTTTTTTAAAACAAATATTTATAATAGGCAGTGTGTTAAATATAATATATTATATTAACAAATGAGTTATGATCCTTATAACTGTTTGAATATTTCTATTTAATTTCATATAATTCTTTTTTGAAATTCATAATTTTATATACTACAAGAAATATTTTTAAAGATTTTAATTTGAAACATTTAAAAATAGTTTAATTTAATATTTTAATGAATATCATAAATATTTAATAGATTAAAAAGATTAAAAAAAAAATTATCAATACTTTAATTTGATTTTCTAAAAATATATATTTAAAATAGTTATAGTAGGCAGAGGGTTAAATGTAATATATTATATGATATAAAATTATGATCCTTATAATAGACGCCATGTTAAGATTATATGATCAGATAGATTAAATAAGGTTGACACCACAAAATATTTGAAAATTTGATTGTGAAAGCAATTTTGGAAATAACGAATAATAGATTGTGCACGCAATATTTTCATTAGGATTCTAAAATAAAAATATAGACTCCACGCACGGGTTGAATTTGAGATATTATATACTAAATATATGTTCATAACATATTCGATTACGCGAATAATTGGTAAATTCCGTAGTTACCTTAAACAAATCTCTATTCAACAACCAAAGAATTAGAAATTGAAAAATGAATTTCTTAAATTAATTCAAAATAATAGCTAACTTTCTTAATTAATTAAAAATAATCTACGTTTTAGAAGCGATTCATTTATAATATTTTGATTTTTGATCTAACTGAATTATATGAAATCTCATTTTGTGGTTGTTAATATAAATTAACTTATTGTTCAGACCATATTAATTTCTTAAAATAATTTTATTTTCCATTTTCATATCTTAAAAATAATATCCATAATTGAGTATAATTAAAAAAAGAAAATATATTCATTCTAATATTATATTGGGAGACTCACAAAAATGCCCCTTTTTCAATACCCCTTTTCAAAAATGCCCCCTTTGGCTATCCATTTTTAAAAATACCCTTTTTTATGTACAAAATAACTAAATTACCCTTCTTTTAATAAAATATATCACAAATATATAAGGAAATATAACAAAATTAGGTCCACAAAATACAAAATATTTTTTGGCGGGAAAAGTGATCCCGCAATTTTTTCCGCCAAAACACTTGTAAAACCTTTAAAATACCTTGTAAAATTTTCCCGCAAAATTTTTTCCCGCCAAAAATTTTTTTTGCGGGAAAAGTGATTCCGCAATTTTTTTGGCGTTAAATTTTTGGCGGGAAAAATTTACAAGGTATTTTAAAGGTTTTTTACAGGGTATTTATAAGGTTTTACAATGTATTTTAAAAGGTTTTACAACGTATTTATAAGGTATTTATAAGATATTATAAGATTTTACAAGCTATTTTATAAGGTTTTACAAGTTATAAGGTTTTACAAGTTTTTTATAAGGTTTTACAAGTTATAAATACCTTATAAAACTTTATAAGTACCTTGTAAAACCTTTTAAAATACATTATAAAACCTTACAAAACACTTGTAAATACTCTGTAAAACCTTTAAAATACCTTGTAAATTTTTCCCGCCAAAAAAATTGCGGAATCACTTTTCCCGAAAAAAAAAATTTTTGGCGGGAAAAATTTTTACGGGAAAATTTTACAAGGTATTTTAAAGGTTTTTACAAGTGTTTTGGCGGGAAAATTGGGGGATCACTTTTCCCGCCAAAAAATATTTTGTATTTTGTGGACCTAATTTTGTTTCAAATAAGGGTAAAATGGTCATTAAAAATTAAAAGAGGGCAAACTTAAAAATGGACTCTCAAAGGGGGCATTTTTAAAAAGGGGTATTGAAAAAGGGGTATTTTTAACAATTTCTCTATTATATATAGGGAGTGACAAAAATCTAATTATATTTTTTCAATTACTATTATAATATATCACAACTTTATTCTAAAATATATAATATATAAATTTGTAATAAATAAAATTTAATCCGTACTGTAGTACGGGTGATGATCTAGTCTATATATATACATTTTTGAAGACATTTTTGAAATAAATCCTGGAGTTGGCACTTATTTACAATGTAATGCCACTGACATTAATTCCTAGATTTGTTTTCTTTTAAATTTAAAATATGTAAATCTAATTTGTTTGCCAAAAATCTGGAGACAATCTTTTCTGATATCTCGACAATGATCATTTATACTCTATTTAAATTCAATTCAAAATCATTTACCATATATTACCTTATATTATCAACACAAAATCGCCCAAACAAATATTCATGCCAACGAATTTGAAGAAATTTTTAAATACTACTAACAATCGGAATTAAAAAAATACGTATATTTTTTTAATATTATAACTTATATATTCAAAATCAATAAAATTTTTATAATATTATGAATATTTGAACATATCAACATTTTAAACTAACACATGACGGGTTATATTACGGGACAAAATTATATGGCGGGACAGAGTTATATGGTGACGGGTTTGAATCAAAATTAATGAAATTTTTAAATATCTTTAACCCGTCCGTTCAATACGGGTTAAATCCTCATTTTATTATTTTAGAAGGCCTGTAATATTAGACATATCGAATCAGTGTAATTTAGTTAAGATTGTATAAATCAAAAAATTTCCGTAGTATACCGTTATTTAATGATAATTATAAACTATAAATTATAAATATATTAAAAATGATACAATTTACAAATTTATATATATAATACATTAATTGAAAAAATTATAAGTTTTACAAAAAAAATTATCCCACGGTGTACCGCGGGTCAATTTCTAGTTAGTCACGTTTTAACTGTTTTAGTGGCACAAATTATCCGATTAAGTCTCAAATAATAATTTATGTTGAGTTTATTGGCTATCTGATAATGGAGAAGAGTAACGGAAAGTTAATCTCATTAATTCGTTTCGTCGAAACATTTTATGATGGATCTAATTTAATTCGGTTAGCAAAAATTTGTAATTAAAATGAAAATTCAACAATAGTTGGTGACTATAATAATACATCTAGGGTTGCGTGACCTACATGGCACATCCGTGGTCTGTTCTTATTGATCTTGAAACAAACAAAGCATTAATCAATATTATTAACATGTGTTACTGTTAACAAAGTTACTAAACTTTTTTTACCTATGAATTTCTTTTGATAATAAGACAGTTTTCTAGTATAACAAAAGAAAAAACTTATCAGAGTAATAGGCAAAAATCAATATCCTAAACAATCAGATTTAATTGATTTAGGAGTTTTAAGGTTTAGTAGATCTCAGCATTCAATTCTCACAGCTCCACTCTCAGAGGAAATGAATTTAGGTTTCCTGATGACTGGCTCCATGCACTGAATCACATCTCCGACTCTAAAATCATTCCAATCTCCCATCACAAGTCCACACTCGTTCCCTTTCCCTACCTGTTCCACGTCTTGTTTCTCCCGTTTCAGCGACGCGCACGAGCCTTCAAAGACCACTTCTCCGCTCCGCAGAAGCCTCATGAGTCCACTTCTACATACCCGACCATCCATCACTTTGCAACCTGCAATGCTTACTCCATCTTCTTCGGTTCTTCTCTTTCCTAAGATTTTGAAAATGCTAAGTACCTCGGCTTCACCAGCCACCTCCATCTCCGAAACTCCTGGTGCCTTTTCTACGATCAAGTTCCCAATGTCTTCGAGCAAATGGTATATCACACGGTGGTGGAATACCTAAGAGATTACCATTGGTTACAATGTTAAAAGCTATCTCCAAGATATGAATGTGAAAGCAAACGTAGAAGTTGGCACTGGAAATTATCGAAGCTATATATGAAACGATTGTTTGGAACAGAACAGGGTACCTTGACGCTGGCTTGAGCCGCAGAAAGATTAGCAGAACTTCCACTCTTAACGTTAAACCCAACGATACACGCACCGCAAGCTTGTGCCAAGTCCAAATCAGAGTGAGAAATTGCTCCCACTCCGCTATGAACAATGTTCACAAATACCTATCCAATATAAACAATAGGCAAATTCACAAAAAGAAAGCCAATAAGGCACAATCACCTTACATCAACATTTCGGTTTTACGCACCTGTGGGCTATTTAATGTTCTTAACGCATCAGCAACAGCCTGTGCAGTCCCTTGCACATCCGATTTCACAACTATCGGTAATTCAACCCGAACAAACCCTTCTTCAGACTCTGTTTCCATTCTCGCTGCTGCTTCCTCTATTCTCGCTTCCTCTGCTTTCAACAACCGATCTTTTTCATATTTCCTTTTTCGCCCTTCGCTCAGCATCCTCGCGCGTTCCTCTGATTCCACCACAATGACATCGTCGCCAGCCATTGGAAGACCTTTAAGCCCTTCAATCTCGACGGGCATCGCTGGTGTTGCTCTGTCCGTTGTCTTACCGATCATGTCCCGAATAGCCCTGAGTCTTCCCCACTGAGACCCGATGACTACATGCTGACCCCTCACCAAGGTTCCGGCTTTTACAATAATGGTGGCTAACGGTCCACGGCCTTTGTCAAGCCGAGCCTCCACCACATATGCTTGAGCTGGTCCATCCACACGTGCTTTGAGGTCCATATCCACGGCTTGGAGAAGCAGAGCTTCTTCTAATTTGTCTAGCCCTGTACTCTTCGCTGCAGATACCTCAACAGCCTGAAAACAACAAGTCAAATCGCCATGGTTAAAGTAACCATCGTGGATAAAAAAATCAAAACTCAAAACAAAACAAAATTTCAAAGTTCAAACCAGGGTTGCCTAACCAAACAGATGAGCAAATAAACCGATTCAGTTTCTTTTATAAACCACACAAATGATAAAAAAAAAAGAATAAACTGACAAAAACCGCAGCTTCTCCTTCAAAAAGAATTTTAATAAACCGAGTCCAAATACAAACAAAAACCATATTAAACCGAACCAAACCGTATCAATTTCTGAAGGATGCCGATATAAAGTAACAAAGCTCAGAGACAAGTAAAACTCTCACCTGAACATTTCCTCCAATATCCTCGAGCTCTATCCCTTCAGACGTGAGCTGGTACTTAACTTTTTCCGGATTAGCTCCTGGTTTATCGCATTTATTGATCGCAACCACAATCGGAACATTCGCTGATCTAGCGTGCGCAATAGCCTCGAGTGTCTGCGGCATTACCCCATCATCAGCAGCAACCACCAACACGACTATATCAGTCACAGCGGCTCCCCGAGCTCGCATCTCGCTGAAAGCAGCATGGCCAGGAGTGTCGAGAAATGTGATTGAAGTGCCAGAATCCGGCATGCCCACCACGAAAGCACCCACGTGCTGAGTGATTCCACCTGCTTCTCTTGCCGCAACAGAGGTGTTTCTTAATGCATCCAACAACGAGGTTTTTCCATGATCGACATGGCCCATTACGGTTACAACTGGAGGCCGTGGAAGAATTTCAGATCCTTCTGTAGAATGTTGCCTCCTTACGTTGATCCCGATTTCCTGCGAAGGATGAGAAAACACAAACATAATTATATTAATATCTGGAGGACCAATCTGATGCGATTCAAAACCGGGATAACAAATTCTAAAACTAAACAAAAATCAACTAATGACATCTTTACTGGGTATTGATATTCAATCCAGATAAACTGATCTGAACTAAAAGAAACCAAAAAATCTCAATTTGGTCAAAATGGTTATGCTCTTTCGATATCTGATAAACTGAAAAATCTTAAACTCCTTTGAAAATTAAAGATATATACAATTAATAACCAAGTTAATTGACCTATGAAATCCATTATCTTGGAACTAGAATCACCTTACCATTGCAAGAAGCTCGGCGACATCAACACTGATTGTGTCGAATTCTGAACTAAAAGTTTCACCAACATTGATGAGAATGCTCTGCAAAACCGCCACTGACTCACCAGTACGCCTGGAGAGCTCAAGTAGTGTCATCCCTTCAAATATGTCGACCGTCTTCTCAGGCAATCCCTTTGCCAATCTTTTCAGCCTAGGAGGCACATAAGGAGCTTCAACAGGTGGCTTATCCGTTTTTTTCTCCCGTTTAGAGAACTTTCCTTTCGTTTTCACAGTCTGTTTCTTGCGTTCACGATGACTCAGCAGTCGATCAGCATCCTCTTTTCTTTTCGCCAATGTTTCTCGACTCGCATGAAAATACCTGTTCCAAAAACAACCCAATCCAAACGAGCGAACATTCAACTAGATACTCTTGAGGAGGAAATTTAAAAAGAAATGATAGAAAAGTCTAGGCGAATGGTCTACCTTATGGATGTTCCACTAGGGAAAGATTCATGACTACGAGACCAATTTGATAGCGAACTAAAACCAAACCCTTAACATGAATAAAAGGGTGAGATACTCGTTATTCTAATTCATTTTCTAGAAAGGTAGAAGAAAAATTGTAATCGCCTGTGAGTGAAGTGAACACTCTTTTAACACCTACCATTTATGTACCGAGCGAATGAAAAAGAGACACTTTCAGAAGCTCTTTTTGAAACTGTAGAGGAAATCTGCCTCTCTGTAGATGCTACTACTACTCGTGGAAGAACCAAACCTATTCTAAAAGAGGCTTGAATGCCCTGCAAATACGTAAAGTTACTTGAGACATCCATAAACACATATGTGAAATGCTAATAAAAATGAGACTGAAATGCTGATACATATGCAAAGCAATTCAAACATTGTGTAACTACTCATCAAACCAAACAAACTAGACGAAAATGAAGAGTTAATTATGCTATATAGAACAAACGCTTCATAATAATTCACTACGTTTCCAATCAACAATTCAAAAAACGGCCGAAACGCTTAAGCCAAACCAATTCAAACAATGTGCAACCACTCACCAAACCAAACAAACTGGACAAAAATGCAAACGAAAGCATAATAATATTTCACTTCATTTGTAATCAAGAATTTGAAACACGAATTGTTTAGAACAATGATCCGATAACTTCAATTTCATTCATGGATAAAAACATACTCGTACGTCTAGTCACATTCATGCATATGCAGATTTGCTTCACTAAAAAAATGCAACATAGACTTTGGCCTAAACCCAATTTATAGAGATAAACAGCATGAGAACCAAGAATCCAACGTTTAATAATTATCCATATAACTTCTAACCAAACCAGCAAACATAATTACACCCATTTCCCAAGGAAAAAACAAGAATTTCCACAAAAGCTATGCAAATATTGGGAAAATACCAGGAAATAGTATGAAATGGAAGCTAAAGCTACAAGCTTTTCGCTGAAATACCTCAGAGAACTTCACTAAAAAAAGAAGGCAAAGAGTAGGAAAAAAATACCTTCTTGCCTAAGTGCCTCGACGCCATTCATATGTCAATATCAGTCTCTGCATCAAAAACAAAAACCCTCAATTTGATAAGTATCAAACAATCAACTCAAAAACAAAATTCAAAACCCTAAAGAGAAGCTTCTAGTTACGACACATTGGATTATGCGTATTTTACACACATTCACACAAAATTTGAACAAGGAGATAAAACAGATCCCATGGGTAGCAAATTTTACAAAAATAGGCAGCAACTTCGTTTAGGCAAATGAACAAACACCTTGTGCGCATACAAATTTCACAAAAGAAGAACAAAAATCAAATAAAGGGCAAGTACATCTAACCTTAAGAACTATGACTCGACGGTGAATCTCCGGTCTTGTGGACTCTTGTCTTCAGACAATCGTGGGGGAGATTCGTCTGAAGAAAAAACTTGTAGAATCAGGGACAAATATCAAAAGCGCAAAAACCTCCTTTTTTTTTTTAACTCCCATAAAATGTATTTGGGCTAAAACCCAAGTCCTTAGCAGTTAAAGCCCAAAACAAAAAATCTTATTTGATTCTTTTTCCGGTTTAATTTATGTTATTTTTTTGCTGATCAGAATTTGGTTTACGAGCAGACAAAGATTATGAAAAGTGCGAACCTTCCAACAAAAAATTCAAGTCTTTTATGATTAAAGCTTTTTTTATCTTTTATGACACAAAACCAGTGTTTTCACCCGTCCGATCCGAACTGTCTGGTCCGTCAATTAAGTCCTGATCCAAACATTTCTTTGGTTTGGATATACTGTTAATATCTGGCAACAAAAACCCGCCATAAACCCGCGATCCGGTGAACCGGTTAAACCGGCCAGGTATCGGTTCAAAAAAAAAAGTCATTTGATTTTGAAATAAAATATAAAATTTTAGATTTATAGTCTATTCACTATCCTATTATCTTAATATTTTTTACGGTTTTAGTTAGATGTAAAAATTTTAGTCATTTTATTATTATTGTTATATTTCATATCTTGTTAAACGTAATATAATTATTTTTATTTTTATATTTATAAAACTATATAAGATTTACACATAAAACAAATTTTAATCAATTAACTCGTAGTTGAATCCAGTTGATCCAGCGATCCAGAAGATAGTCCAGTCTGGATCAGATTTACAAACATGGCGCAACACCAATTAATATAAGCATAGACGCTTAATGAGAAAAAAAAAAAGTCTTTCATTTTATTTATTTGTATTGCCATGATAACACACACGAGGATGAAAAAAAGAAATGCGAAAAAGAAGCGTTCGATGGGTTTGGCACCAAAGTAAGATTTTGCAAAATACAAAGAATCACAACAAAAGAGAAATCTCTCCCAAAATAGGTAAATAACCAAACACAAACCGGTTTGAATCACTCTCTCTTTCCCTTTCTTTCATCAGGCAGTAACTTGGCCGAACAACGACTTACGGATCTGTTAAGAAAATGAGTGAATCAGAGAACCAAAGTAAACAAAAAAAAAGTAAACCTAGACAGTGAGTGATGGATCACAAGAAGCAATCTATGCAGTAGAGAATTTGTTTTCATACCACTGGGAGTTTCATACGGAATGCCACATCAAGACGCGCATCAAGTGTGTTCTCGCACACGATTTTCCCATCACGAGAAGCTAACACAACACCTCCAGAGCTATTACAAGTTCCAAAAATACATATAGCTATATCAAAGCCGGATCTAAACACCGATAATGTTCTTTTCTACAAATCAAAAAATAATTGCTACGGGCGAAAGTTACTATCTCTGCAGTGTAAAGTAATGATGAGAAACATGAATTTTTACCAGTGGAGACCATGAGGATCATTAGATTTAGGAGGAGGAGGAAGGAATATTTTTGTGTCAACAGCGACCTCTGGGGCATGAACCTTTGCTTTACCAGCATATTCCTCCTTTGCATCATCAAGCACAGCTTCAATTAAACCCAAGTCCTCTTCACGACAACGCAACAATACAGAAGGTTCTTTCAACCGAAGCAAACACTGCAACAATACAAGAGAGAATCTTTAACAGACCAAAAGGTATTCGAACTGCATATTCTCCAGTAGGATATACAAAAACCAAGTTCCAATATCAAGGATCAAGTATGAGGGAGTCTCTGTTTTGTATTTAAAGTACCAACCTGAACAATCAGATCCTTGAGAAGCTGTTTGTATGCATACTCATCGCGACTGACATTCAGAAGATCCTTAGCAGCTTGATCTTTCATGGCATTGACAATATCGTCCTGCGCTTGAAGAACTTTGATCCTTGAAGCATTTAGCTGCATAGAGTAATCACTGGAAAAACATGTATCACATAGTTATTACTCAGTTAACTATCTTCTATCTTCGTCTATTAGACTAAACCTGAGTACCAGACTATGTTTTTGTTCATCAATCTATGAAAATTGCAAGTTCAAATCAAATCAAAACTTGGAATCTAAATCAAGATCAAAAACTTAGCGATCGGGTTAATTGAATCAAATTGAACTCACATCTTCTTGCGAACATCAGCTTGCTTCTCCTTCTTCTCATAATCTTGCCTGATCTTCTTCTTCTCCGCCTCAACAAGCTGGAGTTTCTCAATGTTGAATTCCTACAAAACAAACCAAATCGATAACAATCAGAAACGATCGAATCCAGAAACACAAACGAATTCGATTGAATTAGAGAGAAAAAATCAGAAGATCTGAGAAATGGAAACAGAGACACTAGAGATCATACTTCTTCAGCGGAAACCGAGATCTCGTTTGCTTTCTCTTCTGCTTCTTGGCGGATAAATCTCACCATCTGCTGGATCTGCCTCGATACATCTCCGTCGTTCATTTTTACCGGTCGCCGTTAACGATCGGAGGTTTCAGAGATTTTCGTAATTCTGTGGCGCAGAGAGATTGGAGAAGAGAGAGAGAGAGACGTAGATCGGATTTTCGCGACGTGGTGATGAGTAATTTGAAGTTGTCTTGTTTGTAGAGTACAAGAAAACAAAACGGGATACAGTTTTCTAAAGAGTAAGTGAAACGACAAGGAGTCTAAATTTGTTTCTGGGCCACTTCATGGGCCTAAGACCCATTACATATCACCAACATTTTGAAACAATAAGAACGAGTATGTTATTGGGTTAAGGTTTTGAAGTTGTTTCATTGTTTGTATTTGAGTTTGGAAAAGTTTTAATGGATTTTGATGAATTCACTGCAATGTAGTTAGGTTTTTTTTTTTAGTTATTGTTTTGTATTGTTTTTCATATTAGTCCCTATGGATTTATTCTTGTTAAAATCATCATATTTTCACAAAAGCTAAAAAAATTATATACATTTTAATAAATAATTCACAAAAGCTAAAAAAAAAAAAAGGTTAATTATCTAGTCTATTTTTTTAAACCACAATTGATCTTGGTCAACGTTTAGCTAGGTTATCTACATGACTAATGATCTTTTTTTCCACATACATATAGTCAAATTTACAAGGATAAGAAGATAGGACGAGTTTAAATGAACAAGTAGAATCCCTAAAAGATCGGGATGATTTGAAATTTGATCGGGAGTCGCCTAACGTTCCAATATTTTTTGGCTTTGTTTGCCAAAACTCCAAACAAATGACTTCATATCGCGTGGACGTGAATCCGAATAAAGAAGTCGCATAACTTGTAATATCTAGTTTTCCACGTTAAAAACTTATGATAGTAGGTTGGATATGCTTATTGATCTGCTTATATACAAGCGTATCCAACATATTAGTAGAAAACATATAAGTGAGGATCGGATTAATGAAATAGTTACGTACTTTTTTCTACAAATTTGTATTGTTGAAGTAAATAATCAGTGCAAATTTTAGTCTTGTATTAATCATAATCAAAATTTGCCGACAAAGAAAATCATCATCAACATTTAAAGTGTCAATTATAAAAGTGTAAAGCATTTTAGATGTAAGAAAGATATATGTTAATACAAGCCATTACGACCCATATCTCCATCTTCTTTTTATCATAGTTGCAAGTTTTTTAGTACTAACGTTAACCTTTAAGAAAAGCATATTAAAACAAGACATATCTCAGTTTTAAAATAAACTAGTGCCACAAGTACAATTTTCAAACATTGTTTAAATAAAATAAAATTTAAATTAGTAACTTAACTACAACTTTATACAGTATAATGCACGTGTAAACCAAAAGTGGTATGTATTAATCAATAAATAAGAAATCTAGCTACCGGCAATAAGGTCGTGAGAAAGTGTTGGAAAGGACCCTATAATTAAGCATACCCTAATTATATTTTAATTATCTAAAAAATGGATAGTTCATGAGATTTGTCTCACTACAAGACAACGAGTGACAATCACTTGCTGGCTCACCATCCCACACGTCCACCCAACTTCAGCAATTATAAACCAAATGTAACATATATACTATATAATTACTGTTTATCAAATTTTTATTCTATATCATACTAGTATACTACTATATAAGGTTCACAACTCTTTTTTGTTATATCTTAGGTGATTTAAAGTGTAAATGCAGTTTGATACTCCCTCCCGGGTTTTTATTTGATGTTTAAGATTTTTTCACTTCGATTAAAGAATAATTCAATTAATTAATTTTTGTTTACTTTTAAATGAAAACATCATTTTTATTATCTAACTAAACAAGATTCAACCAATAGTAAAATAATATGCAAAATATAAATAGTCAAAACCAATAAGAAACTAATTAATTTTGCATTGAATGCCGAAAACATCATCTAATTTTAAACAATTTTTTTTCTAAAACATCGAATAAAAAAACGGAAAGAGTAGTTTTGTTGTATAATTCAATGCCATAAATTTGTTTATTATGAAAATACTCTCATCATGATCGCAATATTCAACATCGAACTATACATTTTTTTCTTTCTTTTTTCTAGAATGTCTGCAAATAAATTTGTTATTTTACTTTTAAACTGTTTTTAATCCGCTTTAGATCTCTTTATATATTGCCACGACTCTGCGTTTACATAGACTAATCCGACTTCATTTAATTATGGAGTCCAGAAAAAAATGGTAGTAGCAAAATTTGAAATGTATCATCTAAATCATATTTCTTAGATATTTCTTTTCCTACCATAATATATGTTTTATGTTTACACACAACATATTAGTGTCATATTTTAAGGGTCATGTCGTCAACAAATAATTAGTAGCAAAAGTATAACTTGTGAGTGTACGAGCACCATATAGGTTTTGTTAATTGGTGTGGCCCTTGTCGGGTCGCGACATAGATATGATCAAAGTTGGGAGATTAATTAGGGGTCCAATATACGAACTTAAAAATCAATGATTTGATAATCATCAATTTTTATTATTCTTTATTACGATCAT